CTGTTAAGAACTTCTGAAGAGTATCATATTTCTCTGTGCAACCAGGCCGAGTAAGGTATTTTCTCCTCAAAAGCTGCCCATACCTTCTCAGCTCGTAGCCAATCTTTAATCCCAAAGATGGTCTTTCAAAATAACCGTCATCGTCTAAGCCACATATGGAATGCGCACATTCAACCAAAAGATCAAGATTGTGTGGGTTAATCAATTGCTCCATGCTTGAAATACCAGAATCACTGTCACGTACAACCCTGAGGAATCTGGCCATCTCACGTAACTTACATCTTACATATTGTCCTCTATGTTCATAATGGCGATGCTTCTTCCAAAGCATCTCACCTCGCATAATGATGAGAGGGTCGCCTGCGATGATGCCAAGCAGAATACCATTGGACAAATTCTGAATTATGTCCTTCCTGAACCGTTTGCTCATTTTAACAGGTACAACCTCTAACAGTTCAGATTCAGCCAACACATTCCTTCTCTTCTTAGGTCCAAAGGCTTCACCGCGCACCTTCTTAAGGTTCTTAAAGGGACAATGATCGCGACAATGCCTGTTCAAACACTTCTTTGTAATAGGCTTGCCACAATCTGGACAGCCGTTGTAGACTTTAACAGAGGTTTTTTTTTTAGGTCTCCTGCTTGGCATCAAAGCACCTCCATGAACCCTAATCTCATCATTGTACCGAAGTAAACACTTGCTTCGGGCTACCTTCATTGCATCTTGAAGATCTTTAGTGTATTTCTTATCTTCTTCAGTATATTTTACCCCTCTCTTGCCCATAGTGTTGTTTCCTTTTGTTTTCTGTTTTCTCTCATCCATGATCTTAATCACCTCTTCAAGAAGTGGCTCATGCTTGTGCACAGAATAAAAATGTCTAGCCATCTTGCCAGAAGTTTCCTCCTCGTCACAGAATATGCACACAGTTTTACGACTACCACTGTATACTGTGCTCACAGTCACAATCGGGGCACCTGAAGCAAGCAAAAAACAAAGCATAACATGAGATTACATCCAACTACAGCAGTTTTGACATTACCAGAACATGGTTATTAAGGACTCACCAGGATTCTTAGTTTT